ATTGACTAAAGCCCCATTTACACTTTGACAATTAAAACAGCAATTTATGGCAGTTGTACATTCCCCATGGTCCACGAGCAATGCGTAAAGCCCCATTTACACATTGACAATTGAAACGGCAATTTATGGCAGTTGTACATTCCGTCATGGTCAACGAACAACGTGTTGACACATTAGTTGGGTTGACACAGTACTTGCTCAACTTAAGAATTAGGTTGAAAACTTAATCATCTACGATTAGGTTGCTAATCATCAATGATTAGTGCCGTATAGATGCACTAAAAAATTAGCATTTTTAAGTTTAGTTGAAAAATCAGACTCCAAAATTTCTTAGAGTTTACGCTCAATTCACGAGCAGCGGGGGGTCCGCAGTCTATCATTAGGGACCTTTAGATTGAGTGGACGAGAACACGAGGAACGCCGACTGATCATGCGTGTCAACTACTTAACTGCCCATGTTGACTACAATTAGAAATCTTTTAGATTGCACTCGACGATATACATGCATGTAGGAAGTAATACTATGAACATCACGGACAAAGAAAGAAGATAAAATATACAGTTCCTCATTTTACCCTCAACAGAAGAACATCCCTTCACTGCTATTATGTAAAAATGTGTAGAACAGGTGACTATGCATGTGACACCTGTTCTACACATTTTTACATAATAGCAGGGAAGGGATGTTCCTTTGTCTACCTGAGGAACTGTATATTTTATGCGCACGCGGCATACTAGTACCTTGAGCATGTAAAGGCGCTATAAAAATACCAATATGTATGTATGTATGTACTAGATTTAGGAAAATCAAGGTTGACGCATTCTCGATCGCCGACTGAGACGACGTAACGCATGCGCAGTGCCTTGAAATGACGTCACACGTTGCAGTCAAAGCTGTAGACGTGCAAATCTAAAAGTCCCTATTATCCCGTGTGGACGTAATTTAATCAATGAGCTCCACGATTAGCGTGACCTCTCCGTCAACCCTCTGTGCGTCCCTGTAGCTGGGATTATCTCGGCACTTCCGGCCAATGATTGATTGGGAGGGTTGCTTAAAAACTTAATCTTAAACATAAGTTTTCGTGTGGACGCTCATTATTTATGGGGTAAGCTCTTATTGATGATTAGCAATTGTCGATGATTAGGTACTGTTTAAATGTAACTATTGTAGGACATTAGAGGCCTGCTGTTGTGGAGGAACGTGGACAGATTTATTGCTTTAAAGGTAGGCGTGAATTAGATCTCTAAATTTGAATCTTACAACAACAAAAAACAAAAAAAAAGTTATACAATTTTGATAATAGCTAGGTAGCTTCCAAAGAATGAATGGAATCTGATACATATTTGTTACTGCTCCTTCATGCTATCTGAAAGAAAAGTATCAGGTTGGATAATTAATGTAGGTGACTGTAGGTGACCTTGGGAAAAATCAATTCTAGCATATTAATTAGCATGAAAAGTGATACGGTAAGTAGTGTTTTGTCAAGCCCAGGGCCCCGTTCCCGTTGCATAAAACTATTGTATCTTAACAATTTATGGTATCTGTGCAAACTATGGTTATTACCATAGCAACACTGCTTGATAGCTAATCAAAATCAAGAAATCAATGGTATTTACCATAGTTTGCAGAGATACCATTAATTGTAAAGATACAATAGTTTTATGCAATGGGGCCTTGATGGTCGATATTGTATGAAATACTAAATTGTTATAATGAGGTTGGACTGTATTATGAAAGTTTGAGTGACATCAAAGTATGCAAATTAGTTGTTACAAAGTTGAATTTGTGATGGAATCTAACTTGGTTTTATTCATTTTTTGTATTGTATATTTTTGTCATGTTTTACTTGTATATTTTCATTTTGTTTTGTTTTGATGACAGGTGCCATCTGCCATTTGGACTTTGACTGAATAAAGTTTTTGGAGTAGTGTACCGATACCGAGTGTCTGAAACAAAAGTTGACACTTTTGAATATTCTGCCAAATAAAAAATGTGAAACATTTTTTGAGAAATTGTCATATGTATGGATGGTTGAAGCTCTCGCTCTCGTCTATCATATGGCAATAACAAATCTAATAATAATTGTTTCTTGGGTAAGCACTGGCCACTTTTGTAAAGGGTATGAAAATTAGGTTGCGCAAGATTTGGCTGAGCGGAAGAAGTCCCCCAGACATAACAATTGTTAATGGTCTGTTCAATTTATGATTAATTACGATGGATATGGGTTTGGGCTGTGTTGTATGATGTGTCCCACCTCTTGCCCCACCCCACCCAACTACATTTAAAGGAGAATGAAACCCTGATTTTTAGTCTTAGGCCAAAAAAAAAAAAATTGTTCGGTTGTCCTCGATTGCTTTTCTAGAGTAGGGGCGGGCGGGCGTTTTTTTTTTTTTTTTTTTTTTTTTTTTTTTTAAATTCATTTTTTGTGTGTATTTTTTTTATTTTTATTTTTTTTATTTTTTTTTCTTTGAAATACAGCACCTTTAAATCTCGCACTAGTTATTACTTACTTATAGCTACTTGCCCTCTTTGCCCTCTTTGTAGCAAACAATGCCTAATCGGTGACCATTGGTCCCCATGATCCTCTTTATCTTATATTAACTGAGAGCTGATTTGATGAGATAACCACCTGTCCAGTGACCTTGCAGGGTGGTCTAATCCCTCCTGTAAACTAGTACAGATGGGGTTTAAAATGAGTTTAAGATTTGAATGAACGGCATTTTGACATAGAAAAATAAAAATGGCAAGTTTAATAAATACCTAATTGCGTACTGAAAAGATCAAACTGGCAACGGACGCATTTTGATCCTTGCAAATGCATAAAATGGTATGTTTGGCATTTAAGATTGCCCCCCCCCCCCCCCCCCAAAAAAAAAAAAAAAATGAAAAAAAAAAATGAAAAAAATGAAAAAAAGAAAAACAAAATGAATTAAAAAAAAAAAAATACGAGCGGCCCGAAAATGACGAGCGGGCGGTCGAGGACAACCAAACAACTTTTTTTTTTTGGCCTTATTGTGTTAATCAAAAGTTAAATAATTATTATTCAGGTACAGAAATTATGCTTGCACAACAACTGCAAGCGAAACCAGAGCCGCATGAAGATCCCCTACTATGCGGTTGTCTGCTTCAACAGGAGGTTCCACTGTACTAAAAAAAAAAAAAAAAATTCATGAGGTCATTTTGCTGGTCTCAACTATTTTTATTTCTTTGGGTTTTTTTGGGGCTAATATAACAAGGTAATTTTTATGGTCCCAAGGGCTTTGTTATAATGAGATTACTGTATATCACAAGCGTTGTGTATATCAAAACATTTAAAATGGGCCTAAATTATACTGCCCTACTTTGGCAAAAGGAAGCAAGTGACATACCATCTAAATTTGAGTTATTTATGTTTTTATATCTGCAAATGACAGACACATTTTGTTTCTTTACAAGACATTTCACGACTCACGACAATAAAGCCTCTAGCACTCTAAAGCTAGTTGGTGAGTCAAAGAAGAGTTGTGGTATACAACACCTTGTCTGTGTGCGGGCAACTCACGACAATAACCCTAGCACTCTTAAGCTAGTTGGTGAGTCAAAGAAGAGTTGTGGTGGACAGTCAGGGAAAGTCTGTGTACGGGAAACTCACGACAATAAGCCTCTAGCACTCTAAAGCTAGTTGGTGAGACAAAGAAGAGTTGTGGTAGACAGCACCTTGTCTGTGTGCGGGCAACTCACGACAATAAGCCTCTAGCACTCTTAAGCTAGTTGGTGAGTCAAAGAAGAGTTGTGGTAGACAGTCAGGGAAAGTCTGTGTGCGGGCAACTCACGTCCATAAGCTTCTAGCACTCTAAAGCTAGTTGGTGAGTCAAAGAAGAGTTGTGGTAGACAGCACCTTGTCTGTGTGCGGGCAACTCACGACAATAAGCCTCTAGCACTCTTAAGCTAGTTGGTGAGTCAAAGAAGAGTTGTGGTAGACAGTCAGGGAAGTCTGTGTGCGGGCAACTCACGACAATAAGCCTCTAGCATTGTGGTAGACAGCAAAACATTTTACAGCTTTGACAATATTTACGACTTGAACTTTGAACTTTTGTCACTTGCTTCCTTTTGCCAAAGTAGGACAGTATAATCTAATACAATACATATGCTATCAACTTTTTTTCTTGTGTTTCTCTTTGACAGGTACTGGTTGAAGCAGATTTCATTATCATCTCCATCTCATCTCATACCATCTCATCTCATACCATTTCATCTTCACCCACAAAACTCATAATCTTGAGTTTTTGAGAAAAGCACTCATTCAAACCTTCATCTATCATAAAGTCTGTGTGCGGGCAACTCACGACAATAACCCTAGCACTCTTAAGCTTTGGTGAGTCAAAGAAGAGTTGTGGTATACAGCACCTTGTCTGTGTGCGGGCAACTCACGACAATAACCCTAGCACTCTTAAGCTTTGGTGAGTCAAAGAAGAGTTGTGGTAGACAGTCAGGGAAAGTCTGTTTGCGGGCAATTCACGACAATAAGCCTCTAGCACTCTTAAGCTAGGTTGGTGAGTCAAAGAAGAGTTGTGGTAGACAGCAACTTGTCTGTGTGCGGGCAACTCACGACAATAACCCTAGCACTCTTAAGCTTTGGTGAGTCAAAGAAGAGTTGTGGTAGACAGTCAGGAAATTTTACAATTTTGAACATATTGACGATTTACGAACTTGAACATTTGAATCCTTCATTATCTTACTCTATCTACTCAATCTGAATCTTCATTATCTTACTCTGTCTACTCAATCTGAATCTTTATTATCTTACTCTATCTACTCAATCTGAATCTTCATTATCTTACTCTATCTACTCAATCTGAATCTTCATTATCTTACTCTTTCTACTCAATCTGAATCTTCATTATCTTACTCTATCTACTCAATCTGAATCTTCATTATCTTACTCTGTCTACTCAATCTGAATCTTTATTATCTTACTCTATCTACTCAATCTGAATCTTCATTATCTTACTCTATCTACTCAATCTGAATCTTCATTATCTTACTCTATCTACTCAATCTGAATCTTTATTATCTTACTCTATCTACTCAATCTGAATCTTCATTATCTTACTCTGTCTTACTGAAACTCAATCTTGATCTTACTCTGTCTTTCTGAAATTGAATCTTCAATTTCTGTGTTGTGTTGCTCAAACTGTGTGAAATTGTGTGAAAACTAGAAAATAAGATACGAAACGAGATTTGACAAGAGTGTTAATAAACAATAAAGAGAAGAAAATTTCTTTTTGAGTTGATTTTTAGTGAAAGAAATAAAGCTGACTGGTTGATTGCTTGTTTAAGATATTGGAGAAAATTGTTAGTGTATAGAGAAAAAAAAGTGAATTGATTGAATAACTGAATTGTTAGAAATTGATTGTGAGAGATAGAGATATTTTTGATTGGTTGGTTGATTGAGTGATTTGATAAAAGTGAAATTCGTGAATATTACCTTTAGCATATAAGGTTGAATATAGAAACATAACTTTAAGACCAACAAGAGTGTTAATAAACAATAAATAAAAGAAAATTTCTTTTTTGAGTTGATTTTTAGTGAAAGAAATAAAGTTGACTGGTTGATTGCTTGTTTAAGATATTGGAGAAAATTGTACAGAGAAAAAAAAGTGTATTGATTGAATAACTGAATTGGTAGAAATCGATTGTGAGAGAGATATTTTTGATTGGTTGGTTGATTGAGTGATTTGATAAAAGTAAAATTTGTGAATATTACCTCTAGCATATAAGGTTGAATTTAGAAACATAACTTTAAGACCAACTAAGGCAAAACTAGAACACTTCGTACTAGCAGAGAGAAAGTAGAGGAATTACACGATAAAAATAACAGAACACAGAAATTTATTTTAAAGAGCGCCATCTTGAGGCAAAAACAATACTTCCAAACACATCGTAAACAGAAATTTAGTTACATCGAGGTATTAATTTATTTTGGTCTTTACTGAGACGACGGTTTGAAGAACACATTCTACTTTTGTATTGATATAGGGTTGTATAAAAGTGTTGATTGATAAAGAAAGAAATTTGTGTCTGGATATAGGCTCCTGTAGTGTTCATAGCTTTAGTATTATAAGTAAGCCGATTGCAGAGAGGTTGAGAACGAACATTGTATCGGGATATAAATATAGTTTTATAAATATAAATCGGCTTGATCGATTAGAAAGATAATAAGAAAATATTTAAATTAGGATATAAAGTGGACTTTTTTTACACAGAGTTTTAATACAGATTGTTGTTAATAGAGCGCCATCACAAGGCAAATTAATATAATAAAGAGAAATTCCGTCACGATCAATACCTTCTAGATTAATATTTAACACAATTGCCGAAGAGCGCCATCTTTTGTTGAAAGCTATATATTTTTCTAGGCATTAATTTTCATTTTTGTTAAAAGGAAATAATTCCAAGAAGGAATACAGTATTGACAAGATATTGCATTGTCTATTATACAAAATACAACATACATTGACCTATAATCCATACATTTAACTTTAAAAAATAAAGAAATCCCCCCAAAAGCAAACACTTTGAACAGCAAATCAAAGACCATTACAAGGCAATTTGAGGTGATCAAGACATTACAGCTCGAATAGAAGGCTTCCTCTAAAGGAGTTTTTATCTTGAAACAAAAACATAATAGTCTGTATATAGTTCAGGCTTTGATATACACTGAATTTCAGTAAAGATTTTGAATTGATATTGACAACAGTGATACTTCAAATTACAATTGTGCATCATAATTTGAATACAGATACACTGTATAAGATAATTTGGAACGGAAAACCTTGTCTTGGCAAAAAAGCAAAAGGGCAGTTGTAATCTTATAGTTCAAAGCTTTGTACGAAATATTTTGTGATGGAGGAATACACTGATACATGTTGTGTTTGTAAGAATTTAATTGGAGAGGATGAGATTACTGTAACTTGCAAGTCATGTACTGGTCCCTATCATGTTACTTGTATGGGTTTTCCATGTAAGGAGACAATCAATGACACAAATGATAGAAGATTGATAGACACTACTGAATTCAAGACAGTTGTTGATGAAATCTTAGATGTACTGTCTACTTGTGCACCGCTGATGAATTCAGAGTTTGATGCATGCTGCATATGTGAAAGTGAGATCGGAAATGACATAAGTTCACTTTGTGAGTTTTGCAATAGTCATTTTCATGTTTCATGTATGCAACTGCCCTGTGAAGACAAACTGAATGATAGGAGATTGATTTGGATTTGTTCTTTGTGTGGAAATAACAACATCGCTCATCGCATGTTTGATCAAGTATGTATCCCTTCTCATTTCAATAGATACGAACTTCTTGGTGATCATGATGAACACTGTTACTTGGATTTGAACCAATCAAGGACCCTATCAAGTACGACCAACAAAAGAAAATGTGGCAGATCAAAGAAGAGGTATGGTAAAAAGGGAAAAAAAAACAATCGATTGAGAGGAACACAACATCATATAACTGACAGGAAAACAAATGAGTCTGATAGACATAATCCTTTGGCTATGGAAAATCCATCCCAAATAGAACACGAAGAGATGCAAAATGAAAAATTTGAGGATGACTGGGTAATTGTGAAATCAAGGAAGACGAAATGGGTGGAGAAACTAAAATCAAGAAAATTGTATCCCAAATCAATAGATGATCATCAAACAGACAGGAAAATCAGAAGAAAATCAGTGAATGGTGTAGTCTTGGAACCAGGTGTGACTTACATTGGCAAAGCAATGAAGACATTCTATGAAAGTCATGAGAAAAAAAATGGAAACCGAAAGAAAAATGTATGTAAGGAAAACAAGAATGTGAAAAGAGAAGATGTCAGTTTGCAGTCTTATGTAGAAACTCTTTTGGCTATATATGCATACAGTGTGCAATCCCCATGTTCAATGAAATTGTACAGTGAGACCTGTGTGCAAATTGAAACGATGCAGACACGATCTTGGGCTGACGTAGCAGGTTATTTGCCATCTCGATCAAGAACAGATTCATGTGTTGATATTCATGCCTGCACTCGTAATCTTTTTGAACAGATCAAGGATTTCCGAATGTACAGAGTTCATGCTGGTGGCAAGAGAAAAGAAGCAAAGAACAAGAAAGGTCGAGCAAGGAACAAGAAAGGTCAGTCTTCCAAAGCCGGAAAAAAGGCACTGATGGAAATCACTCTTCTGATAAATCAGAGATTAGATTTGACAAAGATGAAGGAATAGAATTAGCAGTAAAGAATGAGAAGCTGGATACAAAGAAATCTATGAATGCAAGTGACCAAGGCCTTGATCCAAATACATGTAAAAATGATGAACACTCAGACCAGCATATTTGCAATATGAAAGACAACAAAGGTTCAGATGGAGTTGTGCAGGACGATTCAAAGAATAATCTGTTGAAATCAAATTTTGATGAAAATAGGGAAATTGAAACAGACGATGATAGTGGCAGTGATGTTCACATACCAGTGAAACGTTCGTGTGCAAGAAATTGTTTAGAATCTGATAGTGATACAGACACAAGTCCTGGATGTGATTTATTCGATAGAAGTGTTTTACCACAACGCAATATGCCTTTGAATGTTAGTGATAGACCAAAAGATATGCCCATAAATGAACCAGTAGACAATGTCTGTGAATCGGTATTGGAAAATGATGATATGATGAAAAATGATTTTTCAGATGTTTCAGATGGTGTACAAGAAGATGCAGTGTTTGACAATGACCTGAAGAATAGAAGCTTTGATACAGTAAAAGATGGTACAGACAATGATACTGATATGTCATTTAATGATCATGCTCATTCAAGGAATCCTTTAGAATCTTCTTCAGATTCAAATATCAAAGATGAAGACATTGAAAAGGCAATAGATGCTAATATGTACACATGTACTGATGAAACAGAAACAGAAGTTGAATTTGTAGCAGATCTTGGATTACGTGATAGACCTGATAAAGATTTCAAATTTGTACCCCTCCAGAATAATGACAAACAGAACATTTGTTCAAAACTGAATATCAGATATATAGGCAAAGGCTGTGATTCAAGGTTAGATAGAAATAGCTCTATTGGAGTTCCTTTACAGAGTAAACAAATTACTGGTGATGGCAATTGTTTCTTTCGTGCAATTTCCTATGTAATTTCTGGAACTGAGCATAATCATGCAATTTTAAGAAATGCCACTGTGAAACATTTATTGCAAACCAAGGACATGTTTAGTAATACATTGAGGCAAGAATATAGAACAGTCAGAGAATATGTTTTGAAACGTAGAATAAAGGAAGACGGAACGTGGGCTACAGACACTGAAATTAGCGCTTTAGCAAATTTAATCGATACTGATATTTATTCATACAATGACCAAGTACCATGTTGGCAATTGTTCTCTGCAAAGAAACCTGGAAGAATAAATATTGTAACATCTGATAAGGGAATTTATATACTGTACACAGGAAATGTTCATTTTAATGTTGTTGAATCTGTAGATTTTGTCAATTTCAATTCATTGGAACAGACAAGAACAACTAAAGAAGATAGAACGTCAAAGAGAACTTTGCCATGTCCATCAATTCAGGCTGATGTTAAAGTAAAGCATGTGTTCAAGAAGTGTAGATCCAAGTCGCAGATAGAGGAAGAAATTGATGAAGTAGTGGATAAGTCTCCTGAAACATTTCAAAACCATGTTGATCCAAAGGGAAAAAAACGTAGGCTCACGTTGGAGACTGGTACGATAAATCACGATGAGAGGAAAGGTACTGCAAATCTTTTTGACATGACATATGAACAGTGTGCAAGTAATCAGTCTGAATCAGTCGTTCACAACGAACGTAACACCAAGGACGAAACCCTTAAAAGTGATCACAAAGACAAATGCACGAGAGTCGATACACAAATAACGCTTGTTGCCCAAGGGACATTCAATCAAGGTGATACAAGATTTGGTGACTTAAGTGGAAAGCAGTGTGTTACCAATTCACTTTCTGCACTGTTGTATAGCAAGGTAAAAAATGTCAATGATTGGAAAAGTACAGATCTAGACAGGATTTTGAATAACGGTAATGAATTATACTGTTACATACGGCGATCCACTTCACTCGACAACCAATACTTATTGATATCTGATCTATTTGAATATTTGGATGCGTACAATGAATTGTTTAACATAGTACGCCGTGAACCAGTCACTGGATTGTTAGATGGAGATGAATTGATATTGGCCCAGTCTCTTTCGATGACATTGAAGCAAGCACTCGAAAAAGAACTCTGTACTGATTCTGATGCATGTTTTGTGACATTTGCTAGAAGTACTTTCATTGTATTATCTGGTCAAGATGGTTTCTTTATATTTGATTCACATTCCAGAAGCAGTCGAGGTTTCCTGAGTTGTAACGGACACAGTGTTGTACTTCGTACTCAAAGCTGGCAAGGTGTGTACAAGCATTGCATGAGGTTAGCAAAATCAATGGGATGCCCCCTGCACACCGAATATGAAGTAACTAGTGTATGTGCTAAAGCAACTTCCGGTAAGAATGAAACCTTGAAAGGCTATCCACAGTTACAGGATTTTGTTTGTAATCCAATTCCTTCGTCAAATACGCACAGTGAAAGTCAGTCTGGAAGCTCTGGATGTTCCATACATTGTGAAAGCTTTGATGAAGTTCAAATATTGGATGAGAGTGTTTCCCCACAAAAGATGATTGATAACCCAAATGTATTTCTCTTCCCTGAAGAAGCAAATGAAACAATCATTCATGATGTACATTATAACGGTCAGCACCCACAAAAGATGATTGATAACCCAAATGTATTTCTCTTCCCTGAAGAAGCAAATGAAACAATCATTCATGATGTACATTATAACGGTCAGGAATTGAAACTGAAGAGTGTGACAATTGGCTTAACCAAATTAAAAGAATCCCAGCTAAATAATAGTTGTCTTCTGAACGGAAATGACTCTATAAATACAGAATATGAAAATGAACAAAAAGGAGATTCCAAAAATTGTACTAAATCCGGGAATGACTCTGATAGATTAAATTTAGTGAACAAAGTTCAGAATTCCAACTCTATCTTAAGCAGAAAACGAAAATGGAGTAACCTCGAAAGCGATGCAAACGTTGATGTCGACCTTGGCAAGGAAATTCGAAAAACCAAATTGCTAAAAATGAATGAGAACGACAGCTTAAGAATTGATGCAAGCGAATGTGCTGATAGTCATGATGAATTAATAGTAATTGGAGAAGTTCATGTTAGAAATGTAGACCATGGAAAGAAAAAACGTAAAAATAGACAAAGTTCTAATCAAAAAAGGAAGCGCATGAGACAGCAAATGAGAGAAAAACGAGCCCTGGCCAAAGATGAAATCATTAAGAAAAGGAAAAGTGTATTCACAATGCGCAAATGAAAAAAATTAAAATGAAAAATAAATATCAAAATGATTTAACCTACAAAATAGAAAAAATAAATGAAGTAAAAAAAAGGCAAAAAGAAATGTATGAAGAGGATTCAAATTTCAGGAACATACAGCTAAATATGATGAAAACCAAATATCATTTTGATTCACGTTATAAAAAGAAAATTTTGTATGGAAATAAACAAAAATATTTGAGAAATGAAGGATTCAAAGAAAATGTTAAAACAGCTATGAGGATTAAAATGAAAAATAGATATTGGAACGATGAACTATTTAAACGAATGCACAAGAGTAGAATAAGAAGTAAATACCAGCATGATGAACTATTTAAACGAATGCATAAAGCAAATTAAGAAGTAAATATTTGAACAACAAACATTTTAAGAAAAAACAACAAGATATCATGAAAAAACGAATAAAGGAATTATACCGCAATGATGAAAATTTTAAGAAAAAACAACAAGATATCATGAAAAAACGAATAAAGGAATTATATCGCAACGATGAAAATTTTAAGAAAAAACAACAAGATATCATGAAAAAACGAATAAAGGAATTATATCTCAACGATGAAAATTTTAAGAAAAAACAACAAGATATCATGAAAAAACGAATAAAGGAATTATATCGCAACAATGAAAATTTTAAGAAAAAACAACAAGATATCATGAAAAAACGAATAAAGGAATTATATCGCAACGATGAAAATTTTAGGGAAAAACAACAAGATATCATGAAAAAACAAATGCAGAAATTATATCGCAACGATCAACAATTTAAACATACAAAAAAGGCAAATATGAAAACATTGTCCAAAATTAGATATAAAGGCAACGAATTTAAGGAAAAGAAATTGATGAGCTTAAAAATAAATATAAAAGAATTGAAAAATATAGGCAAAATGTAATAAAACAAAATCGAAAAAGGTCTGTACTTCGAACAGTAAAATTGTCCGAGTTTGATATTGTACTTGAAGAATTTAGAAAGATAATTTCTCATGGCCCAGAATATGTGTGCTGTGTATGCTTAAAACTTCTCTTTGACAACCAAGTATTGAAATGTAAAAAGAGTAATTATAAAATTCAGACATGCATAAGTGAAGAATATTTGCATGTTTGCAATTCAGAATGCCGGTCAAAATGTTTAATAGGCCAGTCAGCCAGATCGTCACTATGGATATGCTTCACCTGTCATAGAAAATTGCAAGCTGGAAAAGTACCTGCAGAAGCAAATATGAACAATTTACAACTACATGAAGTTCCAAAAGAACTTGCCAATCTGAACAATTTAGAACAGCATTTGATTGCATTGAATATCCCTTTCATGAAGTTAATGGCCTTGCCTAAAGGTGGTCAAAATGGAGTCCATGGCCCAGTCGTGTGCGTGCCTTCAAACACTTATGAAACAGTAGATATGTTGCCAAGACCACAGACTGAAGATCAATTGATCCGTGTTAAACTCAAAGAAAATTGTCGTACAAAAGCTATTATGAGTACAAATTTGTAGATAAATCTAACTTGCTTAATGCTCTGCAGTATTTAAAAGCAAATAATAAGTGGTATTTTGATGTTACAGTAAATGATAAATGGGAAAACTCACTTGAACGAAATGAAAAAGATAATGAAAAGGAAGAAGCAGTGGAAATCGGTGGTAAAGCTCGTTTAGCAAAATATTGGAAGGAAATGGAAGAACAAATTGATTACATTTTGTCCAAAGACAAAAATGCTAATGAAAACATGCAAAACAACAGTAAACTACACAAAAAAATAGATGACAAGGACACTGAAGACGATATGGAAGAACGATTACGCGGTATTCAGTTAGACTCGTGTCTCCAGCCAGTAGATATTGGACAGGAAATATTAGATCAGTATTTTGAAGACATAATATGTTGTGCTCCTTGTGAAGGAAGAAGCCCTGTATCAATTCTACAAGATGAAAGCAATGAGGCCAAATGTTTCCCAGTATTATTTCCTAAAGGTCAACCAACATTCCATGATAGAAGAGATGAAAAAATAACATTAGGACGTTATCTGCATAACCGACTGATGCACGTGGACAATAGATTTGCTCAGAATACAGATTACATCTTTTATGCACAATATATTTATGAAATTCAACAGGTTATATCACAAGTTTCTATCGCTTTAAGGCAAAGTCCAAACAAAAAAGATGATTCGTCTTCAATAACTGCCTCAGATTTGAAAGATGCAGAGAAAGTTAAAAAAATACTAAAATCAGACAAGGGCTATAAATTTTTAAAGCAAATTCGTGGAACACCTCCATTCTGGCAAAAGACACAAAAAGATGTTCTCGCAATGGTACGACAGCTTGGAAAGCCGACATGGTTTGCTTCTTTCTCATCTGCCGATATGAGATGGCCAGAATTAATGAATACATTGCTTAGACAAAAAGGAGACACCAGGGAATCGAGTGAATTAGACTATACAGAAAAATGTAATCTTTTAAGATCAAATCCAGTAACAGTTGCCAGAATGTTTGATAAAAGATTTCACACTTTTATGAAGAGAGTTATTTTATCTCCCGCTGCACCGATTGGTAAAGTAGTTGATTCATTTTGGAGAGTAGAGTATCAAGCCCGTGGTTCCCCTCACATTCATGCCTTGTTCTGGGTTCAAAATGCTCCACAGTTGGGTATCGATAAAGATGATGATGTCGTACAATTCGTAGATAAATACATTTCTTGCCAGAAACCGGATGAAAAGGAAGATCAAGAACTACATGAAATAGTGAGCAAGGTCCAACAACACAGTAAGAAACATTCTAAATCTTGCACAAAAACGGGAAAAGCGTGTAGATTTAATTTCCCAAGACCACCATCCGAAAAAACATTCATTGTAACACCTGTTGAAGAGATTCCAGCTAAAGATTGTGGGAAAGTGCAAAATAAGGGAAAGGACAATGATCAAATTAAAGCTTCTAAAAAGATTAAAGATGATGCAGAGAAATTGTTGAAGTCAGTTAAAGATGCATTATCCAATGGAATCGAGTACATCAGTGTAAACCATCTCTTTGAAAAGCTTGGCATTACACAAAATCAATTTGAGAATGCACATAATGAATTAGCATCACAACAAAGTATAATCATCAAAAGAGAAATACAAGATGTATGGGTAAATCAGTTTAATCCAAGTCTACTAAGAAGCTGGAATGCCAACATGGATTTGCAGTTCGTAACAAATGTATTTGCATGCGTGGCTTATATTGTATCCTACATGTCAAAAGCTGAACGAGAAATCGGAATGCTATTGAGTCATACACTATCAGAAATGAAAGAGGGAAATGAAAACGCAAAGGAAAGCATGAAAAAACTTGGCCAGGTGTACATGCAAAATCGTGAAGTGTCTGCTCAAGAAAGCGTCTATCGTGTTTGCAGTCTCAGATTGAAAGAATGTTCTAGGAAAGTGGAATTCATTCCTGTTGGACCCGACCCTGTCAGAATGAGTTTACCATTAAGCATTATAAAAAGCAGACCAGATAACGATAATGATGATGATGAGAATGTTTGGATGCCTAGCAAGCTCGACAGATACAAAGCTCGACCTAGAAACGCAGAATTCAGTGATATGTGTCTTGCAACGTTTTGTTCTCAGTATAGAATCTTAACTGCATCCCAAAAGCCAAGTACAAGAAGTAAAAATGTCTTTAAATTAGATAACGATCTGGGGTATATTCAGAAGCGTACTCGTACGGGAGATGCAGTTGTAAGATATCCCCGATTCTCACCCATCATCTCACCCGAAAAATATTATTTGAGCATTTTGCAACTCTTTCTGCCATATTTTGAAGATGGACAATTAAAGCCCCCAACATTTGAAACACATGAAGAGTTCTACGAGACAGGTTCTGTGAAAATATGTGGACGTGAATTGGAGAAAGTCTGGTCAATTGTCTGTACTAACCGAAAGAAGTTTGAAATGAATGCCGATGCAATTGATCATGCACAGGAGCATCTTGACAAATTTGGTCCACACGAAGATGCATGGGGTCTTTTATGTCCGGAAAAGGAAGTAGAGCGACTTGAACATCCCAAAGAAAATGTAGATGTTGAAGATTGTGATGGAGATCTTGATATCCCAGATTTAAAGAATGAACCGAAAAAAGATGACTATAGCATCGAACTACGTTCAGTAAAAATTTCCAAACAAGATGGACATTCTTTGATGAGGTCTTTGAATGAGAAGCAACAGAGTGTTTTTTACAAAATACGACAGTGGTGTTTAGATAGAGTAAATGGAAAATCGGTCGAACCGTTTCATATGTTTCTAACTGGAGGTGCTGGCACTGGAAAGAGTCATTTGATCAAATGTCTTTACTATGAAGCAACACGTATACTAGCCCGAATGTTGCCACATCCTGATGATGTCTCAGTATTGAAAATGGCTCCAACCGGAGTAGCTGCATACAATATCAATGGCCATACTATACATAGTATTCTTTCTATTCCAATCAATGCACAAGTACTGTATCAACCGCTGAGTGATGAGAAAATAAGTGTCCTTCGAAATAAGCTGGCTGAATTGCAAATTTTAATCATAGATGAAGTATCAATGGTAGATCAAAAGATGATGTCTTACATTCACGGCCGCCTACGACAAATAAAACAATCACGAGATCAAACTGCTTTTGCTGGTGTTTCAGTTATTGCTGTGGGAGACATGTATCAGTTACCTCCAGTCTTAGGAACTCCTTTATATAAAGACACACTCAATGGTGCATTGTGGAATGCTAATTTCAAGAAAGTAGAACTTGAAGACATTATGAGACAAAAAGACGATGCCCAATTCGCTTTTCTCTTAAATAGATTACGTGTAAAGCAAGGGGAAGAGATTCTCTGTGATGAAGACCTAGCAATGCTCAAGTCCTGTGAGACTGGTGAAGAATGTGAAAATGCTCTGCATATCTATGCATGTAACAATCAAGTAGATGCTTGGAACAAGAAATTATTGCATAAAAAATGTGGAGATGTGATATGCGTAAAAGCACAAGACATGGACAAAGATGTTAAAAAAGGAAATCAAATACGGGAAAAACCTTATACAAAGATGAAAACCCAGTTGCCTCCTTATCTGTGGATTGCAGTTAATGCTAGAGTGATGTTGCTCAAAAACATTGATGTTAGTAAAGGCCTGACAAATGGATGTTTCGGAAATGTAACAGAAATAATAACGGATCATACAAATTTGAATCCAGTTTGCATCAAAGTTAATTTTGAGAAGGCCGATATTGGTATTCATTCAATCGAAATGTCTCAAGAATCCATTGGTAAGAAATATGTGAGAAAACAATTTCCACTTAAGCTTGCTTATGCTTGCACAATTCATAAAGTACAAGGTTCGACATTAGACAAAGCTGTTGTATCATTAAAAAATGTATTTCAATCTGGACAGGCATATGTTGGGCTTAGTCGCGTTACTTCGTTATCTGGACTTGTGATAGAACATTTCGATCCTAAACGTATATATTGTAATCCAGAAATTAAAGAACGCATTGAGATTATGAAGCCGTTTATCGAGAATGAAACTTCTGAAGATATTCACGATTATAACTTTTCTTTGGTAATGCAAAATGTACAAGGATTAAAACAGCATTTTATCGATTTCAAATCCCAGTGCCAATTTGTGAATGTAGATTGTATTTGCTTGACCGAAACATGGATTAATGATGATGATCTCTGTGACGTTATTTTAGATAACTTTCGATTTTATCATCAGCCACGACATCTGTCATACTGTAATTCTGGAGTTGGAAATGTACTCAAAGAACAATCGCACGGAGGTGTTGCAATGTATATCAAGAATACATATTCAAGTAGATTAAACATATCTGTCGACAACTTAGAGTTTATCGCAATTCTTGTCACCAAACCAGTTTCTGTTGTGATTTCAGTTGTTTATCGACCTCCATCATATAGTATCAAATCATTCTGTGAATCATTAGACAATTTGCTAGATGCATTACACAAAAGAAGCATTAGGTGTATTGTGATGGGAGATTTTAATGAGGATTTGTTTAAAGGTTCTTCACAGGTAAACAAGCTGATGTGTAATAAAGGTTACAAACAGCATGTTGTTAATGGTACTACTGAGAAGGGGACATTGATAGATCATGTGTACAGCAAGGGACTAGATTTATTGGAAACAGAGGTCATCCCTACATATTATAGTTACCATGAAGCTGTTAAGATTGCATTTTGATATTTATTGTAAGGCCAAATAAAAAATAAAACATGTTTAGCGTCCTGTTTTTTTGAAAAAAAGGAAGGAGGCCCTTTACACCTAGAGTAATTTGGCAATTCTATGACATATCTTTTTGCTTTGAAAATGTTACATTGGGGTTGCATAGACAGAATACTTTTTATGTCAAATGCGTTCATTAATAAGGTTAACACTTTTAAAAAAGAAAAATTCAGTGCTGATCATATTCCTAATCTTCAAATGATTTTTTTTATTTCACTTCAGATAACTGCTTCAGATGACTGCAAAGCGCAACGTTGCAAAGCTCATTTCTACAACCCTAGTCACCAATGACAGTGCACCACCATATCCCTTTGCTCACCAGTTCAAACAAACTACCGCCCTCGAGTCAGAAGGCTGTCCTCATCATCCAACACACAGCAACATCACCCAGGAATTCAGCCCTCCGGTGATACCTGGTTCAGTGAAGACTAGGCCTTGGGGAGTGTTTACGGCTCTGTCATCATAACAGCATTATGGCAGAAGTATGGAACACCAGCATATACAGGGTAAGGTAAGATTGCCAAACTAAAATGTTTGAAAAAGCCTAACCCTACTGTACTGAGTTATTTCAAGCTCCTCCGGATAGATGGTTGACCTCGGCCACTACACTGTTGATTCCCACAAAATTGGCACACCTGGAGTAATTTGGCAATTCTATGACATATCTTTTTGCTTTGAAAATGTTACATTGGGGTTGCATAGACAGAACACTTTTTATGTCAAATGCGTTCATTAATAAGGTTAACACTTTTAAGAAAGAAAAATTGAGTACTGTTCATATTCCTAATCTTCAAATGATTTTTTTAAATTTCACATCTTGAGATAACTTCTTCAGATGACTGCAAAGCGCAACGTTGCAAAGCTCACTTCTACAACCCTAGTCACCAATGACAGTGCACCACCATACCCCTTTGCTCACCAGTTGAAACAAACTACCGCCCTCGAGTCAGAAGGCTGTCCTCATCGTCCAACACACAGCGGTAACATCACCCCAGGACTTCAGCCCTCCGGTGATACCTGGTTCAGCGAAGACTAGGCCTTGGGGAGTGTTTACGGCTCTGTCACCAAAACAGCATTGTGCGGAAGTATGGAACACCAGCATATACATGTAATGTATCAGGACCTTCACAGGGTAAAGAAAGATTGCCAAACTAAAATGTTTGAAAAAGCCTAACCCTACTGTACAGAGTTATTTCAAGCTCCTCCTGATAGATGGCTGACCTCGGCCACTACACTATTGATTCCCACAAAATTGGCACACCTGGAGTAAATTGACAATTCTATGACATATCTTTTTGCTTTGAAAATGTTACATTGGTGTTGCATAGACAGAATACTTTTTATGTCAAATGCGTTTATTAATAAGGTGAACACTTTTAAAAAAGAAAAATTCAGTACTGTTCATATTCCTAATCTTCAAATGATTTTTTTTATTTCACTTCTTCAGATAACTTCATCAGATGACTGCAAAGCGCAACATTGCAAAGCTTATTTCTACAACCCTAGTCACCAATGACAGTGCACCACCATATCCCTTTGCTCACCAGTTCAAACAAACTACCGCCCTCGAGTCAGAAGGCTGTCCTCATCATCCAACACACAGCGGTAACATCACCCAAGGACTTCAGCCCTCCGGTGATACCTCGTTCAGCAAAGACTAGGCCTTGGGGAGTGTTTACGGCTCTGTCATCATAACAGCATTATGGCAGAAGTATGGAACACCAGCATATACAGGGTAAGGAAAGATTGCCAAACTAAAATGTTTGAAAAAGCCTAACCCTACTGTACTGAGTTATTTCAAGCTCCTCCGGATAGATGGTTGACCTCGGCCACTACACTGTTGATTCCCACAAAATTGGCACACCTGGAATAATTTGGCAATTCTATGACATATCTTTTTGCTTTGAAAATGTTACATTGGGGTTGCATAGACAGAACACTTTTTATGTCAAATGCGTTCATTAATAAGGTTAACACTTTTAAGAAAGAAAAATTGAGTACTGTTCATATTCCTAATCTTCAAATGATTTTTTTAAATTTCACATCTTGAGATAACTTCTTCAGATGACTGCAAAGCGCAACGTTGCAAAGCTCACTTCTACAACCCTAGTCACCAATGACAGTGCACCACCATACCCCTTTGCTCACCAGTTGAAACAAACTACCGCCCTCGAGTCAGAAGGCTGTCCTCATCGTCCAACACACAGCGGTAACATCAGCCCAGGACTTCAGCCCTCCGGTGATACCTGGTTCAGCGAAGACTAGGCCTTGGGGAGTGTTTACGGCTCTGTCACCAAAACAGCATTGTGCGGAAGTATGGAACACCAGCATATACATGTAATGTATCGGGACCTTCACAGGGTAAGGAAAGATTGCCAAACTAAAATGTTTGAAAAAGCCTAACCCTACTGTACAGAGTTATTTCAAGCTCCTCCTGATAGATGGCTGACCTCGGCCACTACACTATTGATTCCCACAAAATTGGCACACCTGGAGTAAATTGACAATTCTATGACATATCTTTTTGCTTTGAAAATGTTACATTGGTGTTGCATAGACAGAATACTTTTTATGTCAAATGCGTTTATTAATAAGGTGAACACTTTTAAAAAAGAAAAATTCAGTACTGTTCATATTCCTAATCTTCAAATGATTTTTTTTATTTCACTTCTTCAGATAACTTCATCAGATGACTGCAAAGCGCAACATTGCAAAGCTCATTTCTACAACCCTAGTCACCAATGACAGTGCACCACCATATCCCTTTGCTCACCAGTTCAAACAAACTACCGCCCTCGAGTCAGAAGGCTGTCCTCATCATCCAACACACAGCGGTAACATCACCCAAGGACTTCAGCCCTCCGGTGATACCTCGTTCAGCAAAGACTAGGCCTTGGGGAGTGTTTACGGCTCTGTCATCATAACAGCATTATGGCAGAAGTATGGAACACCAGCATATACAGGGTAAGGAAAGATTGCCAAACTAAAATGTTTGAAAAAGCCTAACCCTACTGTACTGAGTTATTTCAAGCTCCTCCGGATAGATGGTTGACCTCGGCCACTACACTGTTGATTCCCACAAAATTGGCACACCTGGGGAGTGTTTCACAAAGATCCTAAGTAGAACTTAACACTAAGTTGGACTTAAAAAGTATGGACAGCCATTGGGGCCTTAAAATGAAATATATGCAAAAGCAAAAATTGGAGTATTTTAGACTTTTCATCAATTCCACATCAAGAACATGAAATCTCCCATGATAATAGAAAATATAAATGATTTGAATCAACATTTTATGCCTTCTAAAAAAAAAATACAAAATGTTTTCAAGGATGCTAATGGCTTCCCATAAATTTTAAGTCCAACTTAAAGATAAGTTCAACTTAGGATCTTTGTGAAACACCCCCCAGGAATAATTTGGCAATTCTATGACATATCTTTTTGCTTTGAAAATGTTACATTGGGGTTGCATAGACAGAACACTTTTTATGTCAAATGCGTTCATTAATAAGGTTAACACTTTTAAGAAAGAAAAATTGAGTACTGTTCATATTCCTAATCTTCAAATGATTTTTTTAAATTTCACATCTTGAGATAACTTCTTCAGATGACTGCAAAGCGCAACGTTGCAAAGCTCACTTCTACAACCCTAGTCACCAATGACAGTGCACCACCATACCCCTTTGCTCACCAGTTGAAACAAACTACCGCCCTCGAGTCAGAAGGCTGTCCTCATCGTCCAACACACAGCGGTAACATCACCCCAGGACTTCAGCCCTCCGGTGATACCTGGTTCAGCGAAGACTAGGCCTTGGGGAGTGTTTACGGCTCTGTCACCAAAACAGCATTGTGCGGAAGTATGGAACACCAGCATATACATGTAATGTATCGGGACCTTCACAGGGTAAGGAAAGATTGCCAAACTAAAATGTTTGAATAAGCCTAACCCTACTGTACAGAGTTATTTCAAGCTCCTCCTGATAGATGGCTGACCTCGGCCACTACACTAGTGATTCCCACAAAATTGGCACACCTGGAGTAAATTGGCAATTCTATGACATATCTTTTTGCTTTGAAAATGTTACATTGGGGTTGCATAGACAGAATACTTTTTATGTCAAATGCGTTCATTAATAAGGTTAACACTTTCAAAAAAGAAACATTTAGTACTGTTTATATTCCTAATCTTCAAATGATTTTTTTTATTTCACTTTTTCAGATAACTGCTTCAGATGACTGCAAAGTGCAACGTTGCAAAGCTCATTTCTACAACCCTAGTCATCAATGACAGTGCACCACCATATCCCTTTGCTCACCAGTTCAAACAAACTACCGCCCTCGAGTCAGAAGGCTGTCCTCATCATCCAACACACAGCGGTAACATCACCCAAGGACTTCAGCCCTCCGGTGATACCTCGTTCAGCAAAGACTAGGCCTTGGGGAGTGTTTACGGCTCTGTCATCATAACAGCATTATGGCAGAAGTATGGAACACCAGCATATACAGGGTAAGGAAAGATTGCCAAACTAAAATGTTTGAAAAAGCCTAACCCTACTGTACTGAGTTATTTCAAGCTCCTCCGGATAGATGGTTGACCTCGGCCACTACACTGTTGATTCCCACAAAATTGGCACACCTGGAGTAAATTGGCAATTCTATGACATATCTTTTTGCTTTGAAAATGTTACATTGGGGTTGCATAGACAGAACACTTTTTATGTCAAATGCGTTCATTAATAAGGTGAACACTTTTAAAAAAGAAAAATTCAGTACTGTTCATATTCCTAATCTTCAAATGATTTTTTTTATTTCACTTCTTCAGATAACTTCATCAGATGACTGCAAAGCGCAACATTGCAAAGCTCATTTCTACAACCCTAGTCACCAATGACAGTGCACCACCATATCCCTTTGCTCACCAGTTCAAACAAACTACCGCCCTCGAGTCAGAAGGCTGTCCTCATCATCCAACACACAGCGGTAACATCACCCAAGGACTTCAGCCCTCCGGTGATACCTCGTTCAGCAAAGACTAGGCCTTGGGGAGTGTTTACGGCTCTGTCATCATAACAGCATTATGGCAGAAGTATGGAACACCAGCATATACAGGGTAAGGAAAGATTGCCAAACTAAAATGTTTGAAAAAGCCTAACCCTACTGTACTGAGTTATTTCAAGCTCCTCCGGATAGATGGTTGACCTCGGCCACTACACTGTTGATTCCCACAAAATTGGCACACCTGGGGAGTGTTTCACAAAGATCCTAAGTAGAACTTAACACTAAGTTGGACTTAAAAAGTATGGACAGCCATTGGGGCCTTAAAATGAAATATATGCAAAAGCAAAAAATTGGAGTATTTTAGACTTTTCATCAATTCCACATCAAGAACATGAAATCTCCCATGATAATAGAAAATATAAATGATTTGAATCAACATTTTATGCCTTCTAAAAAAAAAATACAAAATGTTTTCAAGGATGCTAATGGCTTCCCATAAATTTTAAGTCCAACTTAAAGATAAGTTCAACTTAGGATCTTTGTGAAACACCCCCCAGGAATAATTTGGCAATTCTATGACATATCTTTTTGCTTTGAAAATGTTACATTGGGGTTGCATAGACAGAACACTTTTTATGTCAAATGCGTTCATTAATAAGGTTAACACTTTTAAGAAAGAAAAATTGAGTACTGTTCATATTCCTAATCTTCAAATGATTTTTTTAAATTTCACATCTTGAGATAACTTCTTCAGATGACTGCAAAGCGCAACGTTGCAAAGCTCACTTCTACAACCCTAGTCACCAATGACAGTGCACCACCATACCCCTTTGCTCACCAGTTGAAACAAACTACCGCCCTCGAGTCAGAAGGCTGTCCTCATCGTCCAACACACAGCGGTAACATCACCCCAGGACTTCAGCCCTCCGGTGATACCTGGTTCAGCGAAGACTAGGCCTTGGGGAGTGTTTACGGCTCTGTCACCAAAACAGCATTGTGCGGAAGTATGGAACACCAGCATATACATGTAATGTATCGGGACCTTCACAGGGTAAGGAAAGATTGCCAAACTAAAATGTTTGAATAAGCCTAACCCTACTGTACAGAGTTATTTCAAGCTCCTCCTGATAGATGGCTGACCTCGGCCACTACACTAGTGATTCCCACAAAATTGGCACACCTGGAGTAAATTGGCAATTCTATGACATATCTTTTTGCTTTGAAAATGTTACATTGGGGTTGCATAGACAGAATACTTTTTATGTCAAATGCGTTCATTAATAAGGTTAACACTTTCAAAAAAGAAACATTTAGTACTGTTTATATTCCTAATCTTCAAATGATTTTTTTTATTTCACTTTTTCAGATAACTGCTTCAGATGACTGCAAAGTGCAACGTTGCAAAGCTCATTTCTACAACCCTAGTCATCAATGACAGTGCACCACCATATCCCTTTGCTCACCAGTTCAAACAAACTACCGCCCTCGAGTCAGAAGGCTGTCCTCATCATCCAACACACAGCGGTAACATCACCCAAGGACTTCAGCCCTCCGGTGATACCTCGTTCAGCAAAGACTAGGCCTTGGGGAGTGTTTACGGCTCTGTCATCATAACAGCATTATGGCAGAAGTATGGAACACCAGCATATACAGGGTAAGGAAAGATTGCCAAACTAAAATGTTTGAAAAAGCCTAACCCTACTGTACTGAGTTATTTCAAGCTCCTCCGGATAGATGGTTGACCTCGGCCACTACACTGTTGATTCCCACAAAATTGGCACACCTGGAGTAAATTGGCAATTCTATGACATATCTTTTTGCTTTGAAAATGTTACATTGGGGTTGCATAGACAGAACACTTTTTATGTCAAATGCGTTCATTAATAAGGTTAACACTTTTAAGAAAGAAAAATTGAGTACTGTTCATATTCCTAATCTTCAAATGATTTTTTTAAACTTCACTTCTTCAGATAACTTCTTCAGATGACTGCAAAGCGCAACGTTGCAAAGCTCACTTCTACAACCCTAGTCACCAATGACCGTGCACCACCATATCCCTTTGCTCACCAGTTCAAACAAACTACCGCCCTCGAGTCAGAAGGCTGTCCTCATCGTCCAACACACAGCGGTAACATCACCCCAGGACTTCAGCCCTCCGGTGATACCTGGTTCAGCGAAGACTAGGCCTTGGGGAGTGGTTACGGCTCTGTCATAACAGCATTGTGGCACAAGTAGCCTCGATCTCGACCAAGACATTTTGAATGCCACTCTGTATTGCTCAGCATAATTTTTTTTTCTTTATTCATACTAACGTGTGTTCATGTCCATTTTTCCACCTCTGATTCTTACATTTATTTTCTGATACCATGTTTCTGTGTGATTTTAGTCTTATTTTTACTGGTATGACAATGTAAACATATACCTTTGTTCCACACAAGATATTTTGGGATTTTGTGTGCACTTCAATGTAACTACATGTATTTTTATATGATAGTTTTTGTTTCTGATTGTTCAATTCCTTTTACGCTCTCATTCCTTTATAGTTGTATCTTATTTGAGACAGAGGAAGAGAGAGGGTGAATAGTAGAGAGAGAGAGAGAGAGGGGGATGCAGAAACAAAGCGCCATTCATGATGTATTTTATTACATTTGTGTTTTAACTTTGCACATACATTGCAAGATTTTGGGGATTTAACACGTTTATTTTTCTGTAAGTTTGTAAATCCTTGTATTCACACAGTGTTTTGAGTGATATATTGTAAAGATAGATCTTATGCATGCTCCTTGGGGAAAAGAAGTTATACATGCATGTCACTCTTCTTATCTTGGCATTACCGTAATTCTTATATTGGTTGATGTTGCTGATATATGAAACAGAATCTGATGGATATCATTGATAACAATTACTGTTTGTCTTCTTTTAACATCAGGATAACAGATCTTAGTAGTACAGCGAAAGACAATTCACTGTAATTTGTTCTATTGTCATATATTACACGATTATGATTTTCAATGGCACATGTTTGTACACTACAATTTTATGTCATTAGAGGTCACATATCCAGTTTGTTTTGTGAATAGTCAATATTGGATTATGATTATAATGTCAGTTTATTTGCAACATTTACCCCATATATAGTGGTACCTTACGATCAACTGTCAATATCTACTGCATTCACTATACATAGCAGTGTCTTGCTTGCTGTAACAAAGAGGTATATAGGGCTGTTAGGGATTATCCATAATGTACATTGTTTTTTAGTTTTATTTTAATTGTGTTTATCTGAACTTATATCTCACTTGCTATGTAGGGGGCCTTTCATATAATCAGTACCAGTAGGTATCTTGTTTATGTACCTGTTTTATATATGTATTCCATTTCTGTTGAATATATATACATGTTAAAATGCCCTTTTTAGAGATTTGTACAATGCTGCTCTTTTCAGTATGTGCTTTTATTTTGGTATATCAAATTTAATTGGATATGCTGTTTTTAAAATTTATTTCTTTTAAAATGTGTTTGAAGATGATAGGTGATTACCATTTGTAATATTGCATTGCGGTTCTTTTTTAGATCGCCAAGGAAATAGCGTGATGTTAAGTTTGGTGCAGAATGTCATTTACATGCATGTAGATAGGTCTATGCAATTTAGCTTTGACTTTGGTTTGATAAGCTTTGTTTAGTGCTTTGAACATGAATTTAACAATGAATAGACCTGTTTACTAATGTACTTCATTTCATGTTTCTCTCTATAGTACATGGTAGGGGTGAAACAAGAATACAAAGGTTAGAAGGAAAAGTTAAAGAAGATTGGGGAACACTGGAAGACATAATAGAGGGAGAACGAGAGTCAGAGGCGGAAAAGGGAGAGGGTGAGAGAGTATAACAAAAGAGAAGGGCAGAGATAGATCGAGACATCGCAAGAGAGAAAGAGGGAGGCAAGGAAGGAGTGAGACGAAGGAAGGGAGAGGGTGAAGAGTAGAGAAAGAGAGAGGGGGATGCAGAAACAAAGCAAGAGAGAGGGCAGAACAAGAGAGGAGAAGGGGAACATAGCAAGAGAGAGGAGAAAGAGAAAGAGATGCAATCGAGGCACTCTACTAGCATAAATAGATTTGAATATTTACTATATGGAGAAAGGGAGAAGTTATATAGACAATGATGATCATGATGATAATGAACATGAAGGTGATGGTAATGATAATGTTAGATGATGATAATAATAATAATGTTAATGATGATGTTGATGATCATCAGACCATCACGATGATGATGATCATGAGCGTGATCCTGACATCTGATTGAAAAAAATGAGGGGACATTTAGATAGCATATAGTCTCAGCTACAACATGCTCAAAAATATTTCAAAAACAAGCGGAAATAACGGCGATATTGCTCTCAAAAGACAGGAATGTAGAATCCAGATTTGAGAAAAAGTCATCTCCCATATAGAAAAAGAGAGAAATTATAACGATATCTACATGTAAACAATGATCATAATGATGATGATGATGATGATCTTGATAGTAATGATTATGATGATGATTATAATGATAATGTTAATGATGATGATGATGATGTTGATGATCATGATCATGATCAGACCATGATGATGATGATGATCATGATGATATTGATGATGATCATGGTGATCCTGACATCTGATTGAAAAAATGAGGGGGACAGTTAGATAGCATATAGTCTCAGCTACAACATACTAAAAAATCAACAAAAACCGAGCAGAAATAACGGCGATATTGCTCGCAAAAGACAGGAATTTAGAATCCAGATTTCAGACCATGATGATGATGATCATCATCATTATGATCATGATGATCATGATGATGATCATGAGCGTGATTCTGACATCTGATTGAAAAGATGAGGGGACATTTAGATAGCATATAGTCTCAGCTACAACATACTCCAAAATCAACAAAAACCAGGCGGAAATAACGGCGATATTGCTCGCAAAAGACAGAAATGTAGAATCCAGATTTGAGAAAAAGTCATCTCCCATGGGGATTACAGGCGAAAAGTAATGGATCAAGTGATAAAGTAAATATGGTTGTTTATTACATTATTTGCGATTCTACGTGTAGTAATGTGATATTTGCTATGTATATCCATCAGAAACTTGTCTGTACGAAACAGTGAAATACTGCCCTCTCCGGCAGAATAAAGTAAGCTTAGCAACGAGCATAATGGCGTATACTTCTAGCAGTATTTACTTTCGTATTTATGGACATATAAGATACGACATTTGGCGACGAGGATGGGATTCTCATTCCAGGACATCACTATGATGTTCCCCCTGCCCCTAACATTCACTCCCGACATCCTGCCCCCTCCAGTCGCCCTTCTCGTACCCGGCGACGGCCTCGATATTTGACAGACTATGTCCCATAGAACTATATTTCGGCTCCTCCCTTTTGACAGTACTCATAGTGTTTTGGTTACATGCATGTTTTGGATGAAATGCCTTCATCTCAGTAGCTAGTTTGACCCCCCCCCCCCAATGGTTGTTTATGCATTTTGTCATTCTGATGTTTGTCTTTACCGGTAATCTTTTCATACTGCTTCGCATCTACCAGTTCCACTCCATCACACTGATTGATACGGAATGTTTTTTTCCTAAATTCTTTTTTTCAAGCAATTTTCAGTTGTGAGTTCAATAATGCAACAGTCTATTTTTTTATATAGAGATACTGTTCGAGTGATGATGATTATTTTGATATGTTTGTCATTATTGTTCATTGAAAAGGGAGAGAGGAAGGATGGAAAGAGGATTAATATTTCACGAACAAAACATATTGTAAACAAACAAACAAAAAATGATTTAAATGTACGTACATGTATGTATGTCAAATTACTGTACACTGAAAGTACAAGCATGATGTGTTTATTAGTAATTTCGTTCAGAAGCATTATTGTTGTATATTGTGTGGTACAATGTATTTTTAACTTGGACTGTTCTTTGCATCATTAGTTTCCAAAAGAAAAAGTACAAGAACAGAAATTATTTATTTTGGTTAATAACATTTATTTTATTGTCATGCTGTGCAAGTACACATATATGCACAACTTTGTTGCAAATGATGTTGAAATGCCAACTGTTGCACAATACTCTATTGTTTCAGTTTGGTGTTATAGCAGACCTCAATAAGGTGTTTTCAAGGTTGTAAGTGTTATGAAAGTTCTATTTGACTTTGTCTAGTATTTTGCAGTTCATGATTTCGACAAGGATTTTGTAATGTCAGGTTTAAGACAGCAGTCCTTTTATTGTTGTGTTTGCATTCAGTTGATCTGAAATATAACTAACCTCGTACGTATAGGATTTTACACAAATACAAGTGCTAACAACTCTCAGAAAAAAATAGCCAAATCACTCATATATATTTTGGTTGTTAGATTTGATCCAAACCGATTCAGCCGATACTGTATGTATTCAACAGGCTTAATGCACCTTCTCCAACATTATAGGAAACTCTATCTCAAAGAAGGGAGAGGTGTAGTAATGTGATATTTGCTAACGTATATCCATCAGAAACTTGTCTGTATGAAACAGTGAAATACTGCCCTCTCCGGCAGAATAAAGTAAGCTTAGCAACGAGCATAGTGGCGTATACTTCTAGCAGTATTACTTTCGTATTTATGGACATATAAGATACGACACTACGTGTTTTAATATTCAAAGGAGATGGTACAGTGAAAGGTCAAAAAGAAAAAAAAAGTGAATAAAAAAATTTGTTGGAGACGCCCGGACTCGAACTAGGTCAAGTCAAGTGCGTTACCGATATACCAAAACATTTCCCATAGAGATTACACGTAAACGGAAAATGGAATTCTCAAATCCCACTTTGTAAGTGAAATATGAGCATGATCCCGGCATCTGATCGAAAAATAAAGGGCACACTTGTGATAGCTTATTGTCTCAGCTACAACATACTCAAAGCTCAGCGTAAACAAATATAAAACGACGGAGATATTACTCCCGAAAGACGAGAATGTAGAATCAAGTTTTGAGAAAAAGTCATGTCCCATAGAGAATACACGCAAAATGTGAAAAATTGACATGCCTCCTTTAATCGCAAAAATACGCCATGATGCCTTTGTCAAAATGAAATATAGTGGCAACTGCATTTGTAGAAAATATTCTCAGGTAGAACATATCAAAATTTGAAAGAAAATTGATCAATATTTACAGAGATACAATCAATTTTTCAAAAATCTTCTGACGTCATAATATGCAAATTGAAATTATGAGTTCGGTGGCCATTATGATGACGTCATGAGTTAATTGAGGGTCAAATGACACATGAAATCATATCTCCAACTCATGCTTTTTCCGACCATCATATAAAAGTTGGGGTCAATTGACTATCTGAAGAGCTATTTTGATTTTTAAAATGGGATGTTTTTGATCAAATTTGCATTATATTGCCCATAGCAGCACGCGCAGATTTTGAACTTTGACGCGCGCTCACGGCCTTATGAAAAGTCAAGAGTGACTGAAATTAATGTAAATTGTCATTTACAGTAAGAGGAAGCTAAATCATGTAAACAAAATTGAATTTGACCTTTAACGCGCGTTGTGAGCGCGCGCAACGCGCGCGGGGACATGTACGGACGGAAAATTTCGAAATGCTTAAAATGACCTGATTCGTACTCTCCTTTAATAGTTAAGTGATTTTGAGCATTTTAAAATTTTGACGCACGCGTACGCGCGCGTCATGACCTTAATGTGACCTTTGATGACATGACCTGTTGACCCTTGACCTGACGTATATGTGATATGAATATGAATGACCTTTGCTTATGCATCATGAAGATATGATGGATAACGTGATTTCACAAAATGGCGCCTGGATGACGTCACGATGACCTGATGACCTCGAAAATGTTCCTGTCACGTCTCATGACAATGATCTATGACTGTGTCAAAATTGAAAGAAATTAACACAACCAATCTTGAGTTAACCGATAAACAAAAAACGGGAAGAAATAAAATAAATAATAATAAATAAATAAATAAATAAATAAAGAAAGAAAATTCTGACGAAAACAATAGGTGATCTGTCGAAAACGACAGACCACCTAATAAAGAAAGAAAATTCTGACGAAAACAATAGGTGATCTGTCGAAAACGACAGACCACCTAATAAAGAAAGAAAATTCTGACGAAAACAATAGGTAGTCTGTCGTTGACAGACCACCTAATAAAGAAAGAAAATTCTGACGAAAACAATAGGTGGTCTGTTGATAACAGACCACCTAACTAGATTTGTAATACTTGTTTGGAACAAGTATAGGTGGGCTGATCCAACAAAAAATTGAGACAAAATAAAGGGTACATTTGAAATAGCTTTTTGTCTCAGCTACAACATATTCGGAGTTCAGCGTAAATGAAGCTAACACGACGTAGATATTGCTCGCGAAAGACGGGAATGTAGAATCAAGTTTTGAGAAAAAGTCATGTCCCATAGAGAATACACGCAAAATGTGAAAAAATTGGCATGCCTCCTTTAATCGCAAAAATACGCCATGATGCCTTTGTCAAAATGAAAAATTGTGAAAATTGGATTTGTAGAGAATTGTCTCAGCTAGAACATATCAAAATTTTGAAGAAAATTAATCAATTTTTAGAAAGATACAATCAATTTTTCAAAAAAATGCTGACGTCATAATAGGCAAATTGAAATTTTGAGTTCGGA